TTAAAACTATAGGCTTTAAGTGGCATTTATCAACCTGCAGAGGACTCTTGTGATCTGTACGTGATATGGAATACGAAACAACGGGAAAATGGAGGGATAAAAAAAAATCGTCCAAAAAAAAGTATGGGCTATAGCTCATGGTTTTTACCAAAATTGGCCAATTTTTAACCTGGTCGTTTTTCCCAGATTCGGCCACATGGGCCTAACAGAGTATCATCCGATTTATCATTATTTAAGCTTAAAACTAGGCTTTAAGTGGCATTTATCAACCTGCAGAGGACTCTTGTGATCTGTACGTGACATAGAATATGAAACAACGGGAAAATGGCGGGATAAAAAAAATCGTCCGAAAAAAAGTATGGGCTATAGCTCATGAGTTTTACCAAAATTGGCCAATTTTTAACATGGTTGTTTTTCCCAGATTCGGCCACATGGGCCTAATTGTGTATCATCCGATTTATCGTTGTTTAATCTTAAAACTATAGGCTTTAAGTGGTATTTATCAACCTGCAGAGGACTCTTGTGATCTGTAGGTTTCATGGAATACGAAACATCTAAAAAATGGCGGGGTCAAAAAAATCGTCCAAAAAAAAGTATGGGCTATAGCTCATGGTTTTTGCCAAAATTGGCCAATTTTTAACATGGTCGTTTTTCCCAGATTCGGCAACATGGGCCTAATTGAGTATCATTATCATCCGATTTATCGTTGTTTAATCTTAAAACTATAGACTTTAAGTGGTATTTATCAACCTGCAGAGGACCCTCGTGATCTGTACGTGACATAGAATACGAAACAACGGAAAAATGGAGAGGTCAGAAAAATCGTCCAAAAAAAAGTATGGGCTATAGCTCATGGTTTTTGCCAAAATTGGCCAATTTTTAACATGGTCGTTTTTCCTAGATTCGGCCACATGGGCCTAACAGAGTATCATGCGAATTATCATTATTTAAGCTTAAAACTAGGCTTTAAGTGGCATTTATCAACCTACAGAGGACTCTTGTGATCTGTACGTGACATGGAATACGAAACAACGGGAAAATGGCGGGATAAAAAAAATCGTCCGAAAAAAAGTATGGGCTATAGCTCCTGGTTTTTACCAAAATTGGCCAATTTTTAACATGGTTGTTTTTCCCAGATTCGGTCACATGGGCCTAATTGAGTATCATTATCATCCGATTTATCGTTGTTTAATCTTAAAACTATAGGCTTTAAGTGGCATTTATCAACCTGCAGAGGACCCTCGTGATCTGTAGGTGTCATGGAATACGAAACATCTGAAAAATGGAGGGGTCAGAAAAATCGTCCAAAAAAAAGTATGGGCTATAGCTCATGGTTTTTGCCAAAATTGGCCAATTTTTAACATGGTCGATTTTTAACAGATTCGGCCACATGGGCCTAACAGAGTATCATCCGATTTATCATTATTTAAGCTTAAAACTAGGCTTTAAGTGGCATTTATCAACCTGCAGAGGACTCTTGTGATCTGTACGTGGCATAGAATACGAAACAACGGGAAAATGGCGGGATAAAAAAAATCGTCGAAAAAAAAGTATGGGCTGTATATAGCTCATGGTTTTTACCAAAATTGGCCAATTTTTAACCTGGTGTTTTTCCCAGATTCGGCCACATGGGCCTAATTGAGTACAGTATCATCCGAAGAGCTCATGGTTTTTACCAAAATTGGCCAATTTTTAACCTGGTCGTTATCCCAGATTCGGCTGGTCCTAATTCAGTATCATTCATCATCGTTATTTAAGTTTAAAACTAGACTGTAAGTGGCATTAACAACATACAGAGGATTATTGTGACCTGTAGGTGTCATGGAATACGAAATAATTACATAATGGCGGGGTAAATTAAAATCGTCCAAAAAACAGTAGGAGCTATTAGCTCATAGTTTTTAACAAAATTGGCCAATTTTTAAACTGGTCGTGTTATTATAGATTCGGCCTCATGGGCCTAATTGATTATCATCCCATTTATTGTTATTTCTTAAAACTAGGCTTTAAGTGGCATTTATCAACCTGCAGAGGACTCAGATTGTGATTTGTAGGTGTCATTGAATACGAAACAACTGGAAAATGGCGGATCTAGGATTTAGCAATGGGGGTGGATAGTTGGAGGTGAGAAGAACCGAGCCGGGGAGAGTGGTTTTGTAAATCTTTAAAAATAAATAACAGCGAAAAAATGAAAATTCGACTCAAGTTTTGAGAATAAGAGTGCCATTTCCGGCCTCGCTAGAGGTGCCATAATCATAAATGTTCTTACCTCAGCCCCAACCATGGTGGGGCTAATGTAGTATAGACCCGCCGCCTCTGAAAGTCCCTCTCTCGGCCCCCTCTACTTCAAATTCCTGGATTTGCCACTGGAGAAGCAGACACACAAGACGAGTGGTCATTATTTTTTTTTCATGGTAAATGAAGGGGGCTCATCCACCATATTCACCCCCTAGATCCACGACTGCGCATTGGTGTCCTTGTATTATATTAGTTCTATTAATCTGATTAATTACAGCGTTACAGGGGGTGAAGTTGTTTTATGAGAAGAAAATAATTATTTAAGATTGGAGGCAACCTTTAATCACCGAGCTACAACCCCAATCCCCTCTACATAATGGACCTTCCCGCTACGCCCCGCCTCTTGAACATCGAGGCGGGTCTAGTCCCTTCTATTGGAAAGTAAAAAAAAAAAGAATTGAACGTCAAAAATGCATCAGAGGTTATTTTTTGGAGTCTAGAAAACGACGCTTTCAATCGGGCATCTCCCTACAGTAGTGTTGTCTCGATCAGCCACTTTCGGCTGCCAACCCCCTCTTTTTGGACATCTCTGGATCCGCCCCAGAAAACGACCATTTTACAATAGGACCATTTTATATCTCTCCTTCGTAGGAAACTTGTTTGTGATACACGCGCGTATTCCTGGACTCTTTCGATTGGTCAGTTATCTATTTATTTTAATAAAAATGGCAAATATTCAACCACTTGCCATCTTTAGTTCTCTTAGCATCAGGCGTACTGACTGCCGAACTTTAAACTTTAAAGATGTATTGTCCCATACTAAATGCCAAAAAAAAAAAAAAATATTTTTTTTAAATCAACTTGCCCATTTTGAAGTAACTTAAAAGTAATCAACTTTAACATAGAAATTGGTTTATTTAAAAAATGTCTACCCATCAGTTTACAGCGAAAAATGATAGAAACACTTCCAGTCACTGAAAATGTTTTATTATTTTTATTATAATTTTTTGGTTTAAAAAATCAGGGTACACATTTTTTAAATTCAATAATATTTATTCACAAGTTAATAATTTGTATGCTATTGCAATATGATCAAATTTATTTCAAAATTATTTTTTATGATTTTTTAACATTAGCAAGGGACAATACATCTTTAACTTTGTTTACGCCGCGAGTTCATGAAAGTCAAACATGGAGTCTGAAAATTGGTAGAAATGTTAACGAACTTTCAACAGAAAAGGACATCGAAATGAGTGCATACTATTTTCTAATATTTTCATATTAACTTCGTGTAGGTAAATAAGGTTCTTTATAGACTTGTTGCGCTATTTATATTGGTGGTTTTTGTATTAATTTTTGTACCCCATTGATTGAAGTAGCCGGCGAAAACATCGTAGTAGCCGATCGAATGCGCCGGCCACAGGCCGGCGCATTTTTACATTGGTTGCACCATGAAGTAATCAGTTGTGCGGACTGTATTTTGCCATGGTGTGTGAATACAGACAGGGCCCACACTTTGTCGAGGAGATTAATACAAAACATAGACGAAGTTATGCATGACGTCAACATACGAAGCATACGAAGCAACTACCGTTCCAATGACTGGGGTAATAATGTGGAAAAGCGCTCTGAGACAGTCGTATGGAGCGATATATAAAAACCTGCAGATTATGAATGCGCCACGATAAATACTTTTTTTTTATAATCGCCACTCTCGAATAAGCGCCACACTGAAGTCGCCAAAAAATTCTATAAGCGCCGCGGCGCTTGTTCTAGTATTTACGGTACTTATATTATACCGTATTTGTATTAAATGATTCATTAAATTAAGTTTTTAAAACATTCGTAACACAAAGATGTTCAAATAACTTTATTTGGCTTTGAATTATAACCTACAGCCTTTTCACTACAATCCCTTGCACTGCGTAGTTGTTCCCGACGCAACAGGGAACGCGCTCTGATTTAACTGATCAATCAGCGTCGCCAAAGAAGTCGGCATTAGCTTCTTGTAGAAACCAAGCTTTAGCGAAAAAACAATGTTTAGATGAGCTATACTAAATCCGAACGTCAACGTAGTTGAATTTGCGGCGGCTCATCGTCCATGCATTTCCAACTTTGCACTTGATCAGCCTTCGATCTACTCAAGTTTTTCTGGAATTTCTCATGTGTGCACCCAAATATTCCACCTAAAAGTAAAAGACAAGTAAAAGATTAATGTCAATATATTTGTTTTGCGCATGGGTAGTGCAATATTATTTTATTCATAAGAAAAAAAAAAGTTTTCATTTTTTTAAATAATCTTTGTTATTTTATTGGAATGGGACAATAAAATGAAGACTGGAATTGATTGATCGATTGATTGCCTGACTGATGATTGATTGGTGGATTAACTGTACCTGTATGGATGAAGAGAATGCGGTTTCCTTTGAAGACCCGGGGATCGGTGTTGAGCTGTTTTACGAGACCGTATGCTGCTTTGCCGGTGTATGTTGGATCTAGAATAACTCCCGTTTTCATCGAAACACTTGTAATGAATTCTGGAGAAAAAAAAAATGTATTCAAAATATTGAAGATCAAAATTAATGTAGTTGTAGAGCAAAATTTACTACACGCTCTAATATTGTATTCTTGGATTTTTCTTTTTTTTTAAATTTACGTTTAAATTTTACGTTTTGAGTTAATTTAGCTATAAAGTTTCAAATTTTATTTGACCAAAACGTTGTGACATGCCTAAATATATATATAGGCATATCATTACTACAACATATTTTGTCAAATACAGTATAATTACCTAGTTCTTCTGGCGTAGATTGCGCATAGCCTAGGCCAACACTATCTTCTATATGAACTAGTTCCTCCGGGTTCACCTCGGCATCAAGTCCAACATCTGAAAGAGCTTCGGCTATATGGTTTAGCAAATAGGCATTGTCATTCCGAACCATGTAAACATGCACTCTAAATGAATGTAAAAATATAAATACTAATAATGTATCATAATTATAATATGAAGAGGGGTACACTTGTGTTTACATATGGATAATATAGAAAGGAAACTGGAAACGGAGTCAGGGACGTAGCCAGGTTTTCAAAGGGGTGGAGCCGTGGTACGAGGTACTTAGAACCAAGCGGGGGTGGATTCGGGCGGGATTGTCTCCTCCATACGCCAAGGACCCATGGTAGGTCCAGTGGTGTATCTAGCAGTATTAAAATGGGGGCTGGTCGACCAAAATATGAAGAGGCGTGGAATTTATTTTCGGTGGCCACGCCCACTGAAAAATATTGCATCTTAGATTCCCGAATACACGTTAAC